AAATTGTGTGTACTTTCGGATACTGGGCGCACTTCTCAACAAATAATGTGTATGTCTGTAAATATTATGTTAGAAACGTCGTCATCGATAGTAAAATGTCATACCAATTAAATGTATACTATCATTTCTATGTATCTCGTGGTAATTGATTACATTCGTGAAACGTTCACATATTACTCATTTAGGAAATTGGTGATTGGATTTACTATAATCATGTTTTACCGCCAGGTTGTTATCAGAGTTGTATAACATTATAGCGTGGATCAAATCAACACCATAGTAAACACATTCAACGCTATGATTTGCAAATCATCGGTGCGGAAATTGAGTTATTAAAAAACGGTATATCACACCATATATTGTGGATTGGATTTTTAAATGTGGTCAGTGGTTGCGGCGTATTCTTAGATATAGTACATTAAGTACATGTGGCTAAGATCAGCGGTTTGATATTTTTTGTTAATCCTTTTTTTTTAATATTGTATACATTCACATTTCAAACGATATGTTATACTCGACGAGTTCATCATTTTCAAAGTCATATTAATGCTACATATAAAATAATTGAATATTGTTTTATTGTTATTAGTCACTTGAATAATTAATTAGTCATTATTTAACAACACTAGTCATATTTTATAAACACAGTGTTGTGTCCAGGTAACTTTGACTCGCTTGGTTGATAGAAATACACATTAATTCGGTGCAGATAGTCAAACTTTATTCATCCAAACCGTCAGCTGAGGTCTTTCCTCGCTGTCCACTTCTCTTTTTCTTCTCTTATGACAATCTTAGAAACTCAATCATAAAACTCTAAGGAGTGGTTGAGTAAACATGCGATAAGCAGATCTCTGCAGTCGATCACGCAATTGCCAGAATGTGTCTCACGGTTAAAGCGAAGTTGCCACTACTAAATACAAATAGTACACAATCTATTTATAAAAGTTCTGTAATATATTTTTTATAATGACTACTTTAAACATGTAAGCTGTTGATTCTAAACAATATTGTAACCTCTTGTGAACCAAATATGCGTACGTGATGTTTTTTATAACACATTTATTACATATATTAAAAAAGCTACATTGTGCTCAAACATTTAAAATAATTAAAAGAAAATATTTAGATGACTTGCATGAGAGATTAATTAGAGTAAAATATGAAATGCTTATTTATTTTTGTTGCATTTTTATTTATATAGGAATAGCGTTTGAACACGTCTGAAAAAAAACATAAATGGATGTGTGACCGGTAAATTCACTTCATGGACATCAAGGTGAGTACCAAGATTATCAATCTATAATATATGGAAGCCAAATTATGCCAGAATTTAGATTTACGGCGGTCTTTTGACCTCCAACTCCATTTTTTTTAATTTTCTCAAAAATGCTATCAATACTTCAGAAAAACCATAAATTTTGGTTCAGTATAAACTCAGGGTTTGACAACTGGACGAATATGAAGTCTGCTCTTTAACGAGTAAGACGACCACCATCTTGGAATATTTATGCAAACCCATAATATCATAGTAGCTTTAGGGTGGACAACATGTGTCACATATTAATTAATATCAAATATTATTTTTAATTTTAAGATAAACTTAAAAGGGTGTGAACTTAACCACATGTTATTTTCAATGGACAGGTGCTGCCTTTT